TCTCTCTCTCTCTCTCTCTCTCTCTCTCTCTCTCTCTCTCTCTCTCTGTGTGTGTGTGTGTGTGTTTGTGTCTGTTTTGAGATAGGGCTTCTCTGTGTAGCCCTGGCTATCCTAGAACTCACTCTGTAGATCAGGCTGGCTTTGAACTCAGAGATCTGCCTGCCTCTGCCTCCTGAGTGCTGGGATCAAAGGTGTGCACCACCCCTGGCTTGGAAGCTCACTCCCTTCTGATGGGAATATAGAAACCCACAGGACCTCACTGGGCCTCGTTCTGAGTTCACCACGGTCTTCCCTGCTATACACCACCTGCCTCTCTTCACCAAACTGGACTCTATGGAGTCAGCTCTCCAGTGAGGTAGTCTTCCACCTGACAACAGGGCTTTCGTGGTGTGTATATAACCTAGAGGGGCTCTGGGTGCGGTGTATGTGTGTGATGTCTATATATGTTCGTGTGGGGAGGTACACAAGGGCATGTGTATGCAGTGTGGAGGGCAGAGGTCCACATCACGTGACTTCCTCAGTCACTCTCAGCCCCAGAGATCTCTTGTCTCTGCTTCCTCAGCCAGGACTATAGCATAAGCAGCCACAACTTCTACACAGGCGCTGGGCATTTGAACTCAGGTCCTCATGCTCCTCAGCCCTATGTGTGGTTAATGCCCCATTGGCCAGCTTCATATCTTCAATAATTTCCAATAGGGGGCCCTGGGTTCTCATTCTGTATCGTAATTGAACCCTGTGAGTGTCTATCCAGCCTGCTGTTCCACTTCTTCTTCACAGAACTCAGGAGCTCACCAATCCTCCAAGCAAAGCAAGATCCCCACGAAACCAACTCTCTGATGTCCTCTGACCTTCGCATGTGCACTGTGACACACACACACACATACAGACACACACACATACACACATACAGACACATACACACATACACACACACACACAGACACACATACATACAAACACACACAGACACACACAGAGACACATATACAGAAACACACACACACATACACACATACACATACACACATACACACACACACAGACACACATACATACAGACACACACAGACACATACAGAGACACACATACAGAAACACACACACAGACACACACACATACACACAAACACACAGACACACAGACACACACACACACACACACACACACACACACTATAGTAGAAGACCCCTCAGAACTATGATAGTCCCTATATCAAACTGCCACTGCTTCCCCATTCCCTATCCCCAAGGGCTCCAAAGTAAAAAACAAACAAATGAACAAACAAACAAACAAACAAAAAACAAAATACCACAATTTCCAGAAGGCAAGCCCTTGAGAGGCAATCCAGGAATCTTGGGGCCACAGGTTGCCCCAAGGGCCTCCTCCCTCCTGCCTGGTACCTGAGAATGTCTCCTGTAGAGTAATCACATCCTGCAAGCGGGAAAAGGGCCCAGGCCCCACCTCTGTGCGGGCTCCCATCTTGAAGAAGTACCGAGTGTCACTCTCTAGGCCGTGTACCTCTGCACTGAAGATGTTTCCTGTTGTGGGAAGTGGGTGGCAGCGTGGCAGGTAGAACGTAGGCAGGAGCCCAAAGCACCACAAGGCAAGCCAACTTTGCACCCAGACAGTAGCTTCAGCCTCCAATCCCAGAAGCCTCTGAACAAAAGAGCAAGGAGGCAGGGCGGGCATCCTTACCCTCGGTGGTGAGCAGTGTCCACTGGTGCTCGGGCTGGGTGTGGTTGTTGCTGTAGAGAATTAGATACTCTACGATCTCGCCATTGGGCTCCGTGGGTGGGCACCAGTGTAACCGAACGGTGGATGGAGTCAGGGGGCTCAGGCGCAGGTCAGAAGGAGGTGTTGAAGGCCCTGCAGTGCCAGGGGAGGGGGTGAAGAGTCAGAGACACAGCCCCAACTAAGGGTTAGGGGACTAAGGCACAGCCTCCTCTTCTTCCTCCTTCACTGGACCCAGCAAATGGTAGCACAGGTGGGAGAGGGCAGTGGATACTCACGGTCGGGCAGGGTGGAGCGTTCTACAACGGAGCCAAAAGGCCCATCCATATCCACACCATGAGACTGTACTGCAAACTCGTACTTGGTAAATGGTTTCAGTCCGCCAATGAGAATGTCTTCTCCAGAGCTTCCAAGAGAAGGGATAGGGCTAGTGCCCTGAGACAGGCCTCAAGCCAGGCAGAACCCCAGACACAAGCCCCTCCAGCCAGGGCCCACACTGGAGGGAGCTGCTCTTTGGGGCCACTAACCTCCCCTCCCACACACAGCCAGGCAAACCACAGAGAGATCGGACATATGCTATTTCATGTCTAAATCTCCAAAGCAGACACTTCTTTCCTCTGGGATGCCTTCCTGAATTAATCTGTCATTCTACACCAATCACTTCTGAAGTATCTATCCTTGGCTTAGTTTATCTCTCTGTTGGCCTTCACAGAATGTTTTCTCAATCAAACCACAGCTCCTTAAGCTATCTTCTCCATGATGGGAGGGCAGGGTCCCAGCCAATGGATGGAAGCTTCTAGTCTGGCATCTTTCTCTCACCAAAGGGTGAGACACACCTGACCATTGGGAGACTGGACCAGACAATTCTCCCTTGTTGTTACCCCCGGGTCAGCATCACAGCAGAGACATCTGTGTAGACCCAGGGTGTGCCCTCACCACAGCTGAGCCCACTAGTCTATCACTCCAGCTGCCCTTCCCTTACTGATACCTGGTATAGTAGGTGACCAGGGAGGCATTCCTGAGCCCCCAGGGGCCAAAGCGCACAGTATAGTTAACAATCTTGACTGTGGTAAAGTCTGGTTTCTTCCACCGAAGCCAAATAGAGGTGGAGCTGTTTGATTCCGCATGGACATGGGCAGGAGGCAGTGGTGGCCCCCTCTGGATAGGCAGGTCTAGAGGGGGAAATTCAAGTGGGGGGGGGGGGAGAGTGGGTGGACATTCATGGTCTCAATAGGTTTCATTTGGCCTTTTCCCCCTCTTATTTTTGAGGCAGGATCTCATTATGCAGTTGCCCAGACTGGCCCATAGCTCTCCATCCTCTGGTCCTCTAGTGCAGGGGTTACAGCTGTGTGGTACCCCAGCTGGCACTGGGTCTCCCTTGCGATCCTGTGAGTTGGGTGGCATTACCCCGCTGCAACTCCCAAGAACAGAAGTGATTTTTTTTTTTTTTTTTTTTTTTTGCTAAGCTCACACATAGAGTGACTGTGACACATCCCATCGCTGCCGAGAATGTGACAGAGAGAACATGCCATGACTCTGGAGCCAGGGTCCGTCTCTGCCACTTACTAGCTATGACGCTTTAGAGAAGTTGTGTCATCTCTCTGTGCCTCCATTTTCTATTCTTATACGGATCTGACGACAGCACCTGCATCTTGAGATTTTTTTTCCTTTATATTTGTTTATTTAAAATTCTTAATCACTGCATCTTCTCGGTCACACATGTACTTGTTGTGTGAAGGGAAGGGAGTGAGTGTGCAGCTGTCTGCACGCAGGAGTCAGAGGACAATTTGGGAGAGTCCGGAAACCAAGCTCAATGTTATCTGGCTTGTAGCAAGCACCTTCACCTGGTGAACCGTCTCACTGGCCCTCTCACGAGGGTTCTTAGGAGATTGAATTAGTTAATTCTTACAAAGCAGGTAGAAAACTGTCTGGGACAGTGTATACTATTTGTGATGGCAAGTGTTTCTTAGAAAAGCATACAATAAAATCCAAGAGAACAGATTCCTTATTCATATTGTTCATTACTAATTTTCCAGGACAGAGCTGGCGTGCGGTAGATAATAAAATATTTGCTGAATGAAAAATGGAACTAAGCCGGGCAGTGGTGGCACACGCCTTTAATCCCAGCACTTGGGAGGCAGAGGCAGGCGGATTTCTGAGTTCGAGGCCAGCCTGGTCTACAGACTGAGTTCCAAGACAGCCAGGGATACACAGAGAAACCCTGTCTCAAAATAAATAAATAAATAAATAATAAAATAAATAAAAAAGAAAGAAAAATGGAACTAGCTGGAATTAGAACCCAGGTTTCTTGGCTTCTGACTGTCTGGATATCAAAGTGGTGGAATTCTTTTTTTTTTTTTTTTTTTAAGATTTATTTATTTTATTTATGAGTACACTGTAGCTGTCTTCAGACACACCAGAAGAGGGCATCAAACCTCATTGCGGATGGTTGTGAGCCACCATATGGTTGCTGGGATTTGAACTCAGGAACTCTGGAAGAGCAGTCAGTGCTCTTAACCGCTGAGCCATCTCTCCAGCCCAAAGTGGTGGAATTCTACCAGGACTGAAAAGGTGACAAACCACTGTGTTGTGCTGTCCTTACTTAGGAATTATGGGATGGGGCTGGAGAGATGGCTCGGTGGTTGAGAGAACTGACTGCTCTTCCAGAGAGGTCCTAGCCACACGGTGGCTCACAACCATCTAATGGGATCTGATACCCTCTTCTGGTGTGTCTGAAGACAGCTACAGTGTATTCGCATATATAAAATAAATTAATCTTTTAAAAAAATACGGGATAATCTGCCTCCCCCTCACCTGGTGTGGGTGCCTTCTCCGTCTTGCCCTTCCACACAGCCGCATAGCCGTCCTCTTGTTTGTTGAAAGCTACGAGCTTCACCTCGTACAGCCTGCCAGGGACTGGGGAAGGCCACGCGGGTCACTCTTCCTGTGCTCAGCTTGCCCGTGATCCTCCCAAACCCAGGCCTACTCACCTAACTGGGTCAGTTCATACTGCTTCACTTTCTTCTTCAGCCGCACGGGCCCGACGTCCCAAGCCTGATCTCCACGGCCTCCTGGGGGGCGGTCACCACCTGCCTCCTCCTCTGTTCCCACCTCTCGCCAGTAGAGTTTGTATCCAGAGATCTGGGTGGGGTGAGGGGGCGGCTGCCATGACACCACCAGGGATTCCATCTTTGCCCTCACCTTCAATTCTGCAGGGGCAAAGGGGACTGGGGGGCAGAGGAAGATGATGGGGACAAGGGGAAGAGAATGAGGAGTGGTCAGGGAGGTGAGCCGGTGCAGGGCAGAGGCGGAGCACAGCATAGATCTGTGCCTGGGCTTTCCCTACTGCTCTACTCTGCCACCTCCCGGTGGGCTTGAGCTCTGCATGTTAGCTGCTCAAGGGGCGCCTCTGCAGGCAGGCACGCGGTCAGGGAACAGAGGGGCTTCTGCAGGTCTCTTGAAGGAATAAGTACAAGCAAGGAGCTGCTGAGGTCATAAGGGAGGTTTGGACCTTTAGCGTGATGAGCAATACTCAGAGCCCAAGAGTAGAGGGTTGGTTGTAAGTCAGACCCCGTTTCAAACATTTTGTATATGTATTTAAAATTTTTGTTTAATTTATATGTGTACATGTGGCAGTCAGTGGTCAGAGTACGAAAGTTGTAGACTCATTTCTTTTACCATATAAGTTCTGGGAAGACGATGGGAGTTAGATCCCTAGAAAAAGGAGCAAGCCCCTTTACTGCCATCTTGGCAGCCTTTGTATATTTTTACTTCATTCTTTTTTTTTTTTTTTTTTTTTTTTTTTTTTTTTTTTTTTTTTTTTTTTGGTTTTTCAAGACAGGGTTTCTCTGTGTAGCCCTGGCTGTCCTGGAACTCACTCTGTAGACCAGGCTAGCCTTGAACTCTCAAACTCAGAAATCCGCCTGCCTCTGCCTCCCAAGTGCTGGGATTAAAGGCGTGCACCACCACCGCCTGGCTTTTTACTTCATTCTTATAATTCTATAATCCAGGTGGTTTTTTTAAGCTATAGCTTGTCTAAAGTCTGAATATGGTAGCTTACTTTGTAGTCATCTTTCTTTCTCTCTCTTTCTTTCTTTCTTTCTTTCTTTCTTTCTTTCTTTCTTTCTTTCTAGATAGGGTTTCTCTGTGTAACCTTGGCTCTCCTGGAACTTGCTCTGTAGACCAGGCTGTCTTCAAATTCAGAAAGTCTCCCTACCTCTGCCTCTCTAGTGCTGGGATTAAAGGCATGAGCCTCCACTACCACTCGCCTGGAGACTTTGTGGCCATTTAACCACTGTACTATTGGGCCTCTTGGCAAAGCCAGCTACTTTTTAATGGGTTCCTCCCTTTCTTTGAAACAGTTTCATGCCCAAACTCACTATGTAGGTGAGGCAGACTTTGAACTTCTGGGATCGGAGGCATGCAGGGAGGGGTTTATGCAGTCCTAGGGATTGAACCTAGGGCTTTGTACATGCCAGGCAAGCACTTGGCCAAATGCGCCATAGTCTCAACCCAAGGAACTCCTATTCTGTGCCAACTACTTTGTGTATAATTACATTAATAATCCTGCTGCCAGGGTGGCTTGTCACAGAGTGAACAGGGAGATTTTTGAGACCAGTCCTTCACTCCTACACCCAGGCCTCCCTGATGCATCAAGTGTATGTGTGTCTGGGGGGGCTGGGGAGGCAATAACAGGTCTGTGCAGGGGGGGGGCCTGGTTCCAAGGCCACAGAGTACGTGCACCCACTGTCCAGTCTGCCGGTGTAGCTCCCTACCGTGGCTCTGGTTGTGCACACCAGGTGTCCTGTGCTGCATCCACTGAGAAGGAACTCCATAGCCGGCCCCGGTGCCAGCTGAAATCCGGACTCGGTACACCTTGTTTGGCTGAAGTGAGTTTAACGTAAGTTGTGTCTCATTTCCGGGCACCTCGGTGGAGAAAACCTGATCTTCTGGGACAAAAAGGATAGGCTGCAGGGTGTCCTTCATTGAGGGACCGTTGATCTCTAAATTTATCACACTGATTCTTCCATTTCAGGTCCCCAGGGTCCTCTGGGCACCAACCCCTCAGCATGGAGGCAAGCTTCATGCCTTCAGGTTGACCCTGGGGCTTCTACCTATAGTTGCTGAAGCCCATTGGCTTTGGTTCCACATAGAAAGATGAAGGTGTGAACATCTCCTCCACAGTAAACCAACAACAACAGCCAGTACACACCCCTTGCACAGGCTTGATGATTAGCTAAGGGCGCAAAGCAGTTCCTGGTGTCAGGAGCCCTGACTGCTGCCTCAGGCCAGCCTCCTGCCTCTTCTCTGGTGTTTAAACCAGAGGTTTCTGGGGCTGGAGAGATGACTGAATTGTTAAGAGCACTGGCTGCTCTTCCAGAGGTCCCGAGTTCAATTCCCAGCAACCACACTGTGGCTCACAACTATCTGTAATGGAATCCGATACCTTCTTCTGGCATGCAGGTGTGCGTGTAGATAGACCACTCATACACATAAAATAAGTAAAATAAATCTTAGAAAACAAACAAACATAAAAACCTAGAAGGGTTCAAAGGATCTCCTAGGTGAAAGGAAACTTAGTCCAAGGCTCTCCTGATTATACTCCTTACCTGTGCTCAAGCTGCTGACCCTCTTTGTCTTCCCTTTTCCTCGACTGCCCCCAAACAGTGTGTCTGTGTGTGTCCATGAGTGTGAGTGTTCACATATGTGCAGGTACATGTGTGCGCACATACATGTACAGGTCAGACGACAACCTCTGTTGTCATTTCTCTGGTATTGTCCACCTTCTCTTCTATACAGGGACTCTCACTGACCTGGAAGTCACTGGTGTCCTCCGGTCTCCACCTCCCCTGCACTGGGATTACAAGCAGGCACTACCTCTATGCCAGGCTTTTTTTTTTTTTCCTCATGAAGTCTGAGGTTGAACTCAGGCCTTTGGGCTTGCACAATTTCTATATACATCGAGCTATCGATTAGTCTGTCAATGCTCTTTTCCAGAGCTTTCCTGTGCCCCAATTAGGCTCCACTCCCACTGACAACTCCCCCATCTAGGGGAGGACCCCTATTCCCACTGACATTCTTCACTGCCTCGGCCCCACTCACCTTCCTTCCCCAAACCATACTCTATCTTGTACTTCAACACCTGTCCGTTGCTCAGGCTGGAGGGCAGGGGCAGCCATGCCACCCTGATGTCCGAGGGGTTGGGGCTGGACAGAGCGAGCTGGGGTGCTGCACTGGGGACTGAGACAGAAGAACATTGGCGTGAGCTCCGCACCACTGACAGGGAAGACAAGGTCAGGAGTGGTCAGAGATTTGCCCAGGTCACACAGCAAGTCAGAAGTAGGCCCAGGCCCAGGATATGAGGAAGGGAGCCTCTCAGGGGAGCCCTAAGCTGGAGGATGAGGAGACATCCTTTCTATCCCAAGACTAGTGGACAGTGTGGGCCAGAAGCGTTCATAGTTTAAATCCAATGGCCGTACATGAGTGTTAGGAAGAAGGGCTGCATGATATGGGGTCTCAGAGCTGGGCTCAAGTCTCAGCTGTCCTGCTGAGCTTGGCAAGTCATTTTTATTTTCTGAGCCTCAGTTTCCCCATTTTACACTGGGAAGAAGAACCTCTGCCCACTGCTTTGTAGGGCACGAATAGACATCACAAGGCAGGAAAGAGGGCCTTGGCCCACACTGTCCCTGAGTGGGAGTGTCTCTGGGTCCCAGGTCACTGCAGGTTCAAAGGTCCTACCATCGTCCAGTGTATGCACCAGGGCTGGGCTGGAGGTTCGGCTGGCCCCTAGCTGGGAGTAGGCCACCACGTAGAACTCATAATCCGTGTTGGGTTCCAGGTCCCGAACCTGCAGCTCTGTGGTGTCATTGTTTACTGCAAACTGGTACTCCACATTGTCCACTCCTGAGGTGGTAGCACGGGGGACAAAGGGACTGTCACAGCCCACTCCATGTCTGACCAGCTGGAGACTGTCTGGGGATCCTACTGGTCTATGCATAGCTAAATCGTCACAGACAATCTAGGGTGAAGGCTATAAATGTCCCTGGCATCTAGTCTACCCGTTGTATTAATTCCAGAATAGGCCAGGAAGTTCCTGGCGCTGTCTAATTGAAGTGGTCCCTCCAGCAGTTAGTTAGCTGGGGTGATGTCTCCTTTAACCCTGTAAAGAGAAGCATTCTCTCCGGGAAGGAGTGCGTGTGTACACTCTAATACTAGACTGACGATCGATCACTTCCTAGCAGGGTTAGGAATCCCTTCCCCTCATCTGCAGAGGTCACCACTAGGCAATTATCCATCCCGTACTTGCCCTAACTAGGATCCTGTAGTCAAAAGTAGACATACCCCTTGCCTTTTGGTAGTGAAGAGAAAAGCCAATGATTTGCTCGCTGTGCAACTCAGGTCGCTCCCAGGCCACCAGCACAGCGGAGCTGCTCAGCGGTGTGGCTGTGACCCGAGTCGGGGCGCTGGGCAGCCCCTCGCGCACCACCACCGCCAGGGGCGCAGCGGCACAGGCGGTTCCCGCGCTGTTCTCCGCTACACACTGGTAGTAGCCAGCGTCCTGCAAGCCGATCTGGGTGATGACCAAGCTGCCGCCACTGCCCTGCACCTTGACGCGCCCGTTGGGTCGCAACGGGGCCCCGTCGTGCAGCCAGTGCAGCGCGGGCCGTGGCTCCCCAGACGCGCGGCACACGAAGCGCGCAGTGCTGGCCCGTGTCCGGGACAGCGCCTCGGGCGCCTGCGAGATGGCTGGAGCAGCTGGGAGCAGAAGGGAGACTCTGACAAGAAGGCCTACCCCTCCCCAAGTGTCCCACCACCGCGCCTCCAGCCTCACCCTGAGGTTCTCTCCCCTAGCCACCCTGGCCCAGCTCTGGTTCACTTGCCTCGGCCCCTCCCCGGCTAGTCCTCTTTCTCCCAGCGCCCAGCAGATTTCCAGCTCTTGGGCTCCAGGCTTTAACTTCAAGCCCTCCTTCCAGTTGCCTCCTATACACAGCAGTTACTCCAGCTTTCAGCAAGCCTGGGCCCCAGTTTTCTTTTGTATTGAGAAAGCTCTTTTATAGCCTAGGTTGGCCTTGAATTTCTGATCTGCCTGCCTCAGCACTACCTCTCCCACCCCCACCCCATTTGTTTGTTTCACACGTTTGTTTTGAGATAGGCTTTTCACTCTGTAGCTGGCCTCAACTCTGTAGCTCGGGCTGGCATCGAACTCACGCTCCTGTCACAGCTTTCCAAGTGCTACCACGTACAGATTCTGGCCCCTGGGCTTCACATCCCTCAGACCATTCCACTATCTCCTCCCATAACCTCACCGCACTCCTGCTCGCCCACGCTCTCACTCCTCATGACCCAAGCCGGGCTTTAAATATCCCTGTACTCCATCCCTGTCTCAAATCGCCCCAACCATCCCCCAGCTACCTAATCCAGTCCTCCAACAATCACCATCAATCAGTAAATGCAGTCTTCTCCCATGTCGTCCCCCTCATGTTTAATCTTCTAGGATCGCCCCTTCTCCCTCTAACACACACCCGTCGTCCTTAATGTCCCACAGCGCCAGCCCTTACCAAGAACTCGGAGCTCGGCAGCCGCAGTGGCGAAGTCGCGGGTGTGGGGCTTGTTGGCTCGGCAGACATAGACTCCAGAGTGCCGAGGTTGCGCGCTGGCGATGAGTAGATTGGTCCGGCCCAGAACGATAACATCCGTGGAGATAGGCTTCCCATCTGGTGACAGAGAAGGAGCAGGCTGAAGGGGGACGCTGGAACTGTCCCTCTACACCCTCTCCAACTAGAGTATCCCACTACACCCCTGCAAAGCTGCACTACAGTCGCTGGCTTGAATCCCAGTTCCTTCTATCTCTGATCCCTAGGTAGAAAGGCAGATGGGAGGTGGGTAAACAACGGCTAAAAGGCCTCTGGTGGGCAGGGCAGATATTTAATTTAATACAACCTTCTCTCTGTCTCTGTCTCTATCTCTCCTCCCCCACCCCCTCTAATTTTTTGAGGCAGGATTGCTCTGAGTAGCCCTGGCTTCCCTGGAACTGGCTCTGTAGACCAGGCTGGCCTCAAACTCAGAGATCCGCCTGCTTCTGCCTCATGACTGCTGGGATTAAAGATGTGTACCACCACCACTGGGCTTAATACAACATTTTTTTTTTTTTAAGGTTTTTCGAGACAGGGTTTCTCTGTGTAGTCCTGGCTGTCCTGGAACTCACTCTGTAGACCAGGCTAGCCTCGAACTCTCGAACTCAGAAATCCGCCTGCCTCTGCCTCCCAGGTGCTGGGATTAAAGGCGTGCACCACCACCGGCCGGCTAACATTTTTTTTTTTTCAAGACATGGTTTCTCTGTGTAGCTCTGGCTGTCCTGGAACTCACTTTGTAGACCAGGCTGGCCTCGAACTCAGAAATCCGCCTGCCTCTGCCTCCCAAGTGCTGGGATTAAAGGCGTGCGCCACCACCGCCCGGCCAATACAACATTTTTTAAAAAGTCATTAATGCATGAATGTGTGTACATGTGAGCGTGCTTGCGTTTGCTTGTGGAAGTCAAAGGACAACTTTATGGAGTCATTCTCTCCTTCCATCTTTAGGTAGAAGTTGCTGACTTGGAGCCTGTGAGATACTCTACCATCTTGCCCACTCCCCCAGTCTCCTCCTCCTCTTTCCCCGGCACTCACCCTGTCGGACCCAGGACACAAAAGGGGTGGGGTCAGCGGAGGCCACGCACTCCATCACGACACTCTGACCAGACACCACCGTGGTGTTCTCTGGGGCCGCCACGATGACCACATCCTGGCCCCTGGTAGCCTCCAAGGACCCTGTAGAGAAGATAGGAGGATAGGGTCAGCTTGCTACTTGCTGCTTCTGAATTCTCAAAGGAGGGGGTCAAGGGCATCATGGTTCTTTCTGTCCGAGGGGAAAGCAACTGCCAAGCAGAGCTGGAGTGGTCCTCAGAGTTCCTTCTCTTGGAGCCAGAAGAATGATCTCCGACACAAGTGAACCCCACAAGTTACTGAGTTGGTCATACCTCCCTCCATATTTCCCTGCCCGTATCCAGCCCACACGACATCTGCCTTAGACTCAGCATCTAGTTCTAGATCTAAGACCGCCTATACAGTGTTGTGTGAGTTAGGCAGATCCCTTTCCAAAGTGCCTTGGGCTTCTACAAGCAAAAGGTGGGCTGTGGTTTTTAAGCAAGGAAGCTTTGCGCTGTATATACGTGTCCAATTTCTCTCTCCATGCGGCAGAACGGAGAACACCCGGTTTGTCCAGCAGGGGACAGCATAGACCTAGTGCCCGAGAGAGCACAAAGCCAGCCTGGAGCTGCAGAAGCCCAGGAACAAGAGGATGGAACCAGGGAAGAGGAGAGATGACACACTGAGTGACCTTGGGTGAGGCTTGCAGTGAGATCTGTCGAGCAGCTGCTGAGTGCCAAACACTTCCCATTCCCATCTCAGGGTCACACAGATGGTGAGGAGAGTCAGGATTCAAAACAGGTCTTTGTGACCCCCAAACCAGTGCCCTTGCTGCTATCTTATCCTGGCAGGAGCTTTTCAAAGGAAGGCAGAAAAGAGACTTACAAAACAGATAAAGATGCATGCCGCCAAGTCTGACGGATCCCAGGAACCCACTAAGTGGAAGAAGACTGACTTCTACAAATCGTTCTCTGTTTACGAGTGCTATGGGACTTGTGCATGAACACACAAAATAAATGTGTTTTTTTTGTTTGTTTGTTTTTGTTTGTTTGTTTGTTTGTCTTTTTCGAGACAGGGTTTCTCTGTGTAGCCTTGGCTGTCCTGGAACTCACTCTGTAGATCAGGCTAGCCTCGAACTCTCGAACTCTCGAACTCAGAAATCTGCCTGCCTCTGCCTCCCAAGTGCTGGGATTAAAGGAGTGTACCACCACCGCCCGGCTAAAATAAATGTTTTTTTGTTTTTTTTTGTTTTTTTTTTTGCTTTTTGTTTTTCGAGACAGGGTTTCTCTGTGTAGCCCTGGCTGTCCTGGAACTCACTATGTAGACCAGGCTGACCTCGAACTCAGAAATCCACCTGCCTTTGCCTCCCAAGTGCTGGGATTAAAGATGTGCGCCACCACTGTCTGGCTAAAATAAATGTTTTTTAAAAGATGAAAAAAAAAAGAAAAGAAAAGAAAAAGAAAGGCAGAAAAGGACTTGAGTACAGGTGGCAAGGAGCCAGACTGGCACATAAGGAGATTGTGTGGGTCTCCTGCCCAGACCCCTTAAGATAATTAGAAGGACAGAAGGGACTAGAGGCTGCAGGGCATTGACACCCCTCTTTTGATACCTTGACTTCTCCAAGTCCTTGTCCAACCACAGGAACCACAGACAACCCACAAGAAGGACCGAACCCCACCCCCCACCCCCCTCCAGTTGGAGTTCTCAAACCCCAGGTCTATCCCATGTAGAACTACTACCTAATCAGCTTTCCGAAGGACCTTGGTCTAGTCTCTTCCATTTCCAAGATAGCTGTCCCCAGAAATCCCTAGGTCTCCTATCTGCCTGTCCCCTTACCTCTGAGGGCCACACTGAGAGAGGCCTCCTGGCTGAATCGTTGGCGGGCTGAATTGGTGGCCACACAGCGGTAGGAGCCTGCATCACTATCCTGGACATCCAGGATCTGGAGGACGCCATTGGGAAGAGTGATGAGCCTTGGGAAGGAGCAGAAGGAGTCTGTGAGGTGGGGGAAGGTAATAGAGGAGGTGGCCCATAGGTTCAGAAATGCAAGTCCAATCTTTTTTTTTGGGGGGGGGGGTTGAAACAGGGTTTTTCTGTTTCTCTGTGTAGCCCTGGCTGTCCTGGAACTCACTCTGTAGACCAGGCTGGCCTCGAAATCAGAAATCCACCTGCCTCTGCCTCCCAAGTGCTGGGATTAAAGGCGTGAGCCACCACTGCCCAGTCTTTAAGATACAACCTCATCTAACAGACTGGCAAAGACCAAAATGTTTAATAACAGCTCAGGCAGGTGAGGAAATCAGGGAAGGCACATTTGTCCTGCAGGCGTCACCACCCAGTACACTCTCTTTTCTGGGCAAGCTGGTAGCATGATCCAACATCAAGGAGCTGTTGCTCTAACCCTGGCACTTCTGGAACTCTCCACCACAGTTAGTATCAGATACATGCAGCAAACGCACGTCAGTATTTACTGCTGCCCTATCCACAGAGGCTGGAAACTGTTGGGTGCATCCTGGTTTCACAGGTGTGGGGACTTCCTGCAATGGAATGTGGCAGGTTCAGGAGCCATCTGCACTGTGTGCTTTGGTTCCACAGGATAACGTGTGGAGACTCAAATTCTTACTAGTTTGTATATATACTGAATGTCCCCATAAAAGGAAGTTGTTTCTGAGGAGGGGCCTGTTAGCCTAGAAGCTGGAGGCATGAGGAACCTAACTTTTTATTACACACATACACCCTTTCAAGAATTTAGATGTTTTAAACCTCTTTTCCCCCCTGAAGATTAAAAAAAACAACAACCAAAACAGTGTTTGTGTATGTATGTTACTTAAGGTGCCTGCGAAGTTGAGAAATGGTCTGGAATTACAGACGGAGCTGTAGTTACTGGCAGTTGTGAACAGTCTGATGTGGTGGTGCTAGGAGCTAACTTGGGTCCTCTAAAGGAGAGGTTCACACTCTTAACTGCTGAGCCATCATCTTTCTGCCCCCCCCCCATTAACCTCTTAACTATATTTCCTTTCCCTCTTCCTTATCTCCTTATTCCTCAATAAAAATTCCCTTATTCCCTTATCTCCTTTGATCCTCAAAAGAATCCCAAGAGACAGGAGAATCACAACCTCCATTTTATGGCAACAAAATTGAATCTCAGAGTAGGGCGATCACCCGGGGTCTTCATGCTGGAGCAGTTAAAACCTGAAACCAGGGCCTGGGGATATGGCTCAATTAGTAGAATCCTTGTCTAGCAAGCACCAGACCCTGGCTTCCATGTTCAGCACTGTATAAACCAGTAATGCTCCATGCCTGTATTGACAGCATCAGGGGGGTGGAGACAGGAATATCAGAAGCTTAAGGTCATCCTGTGCCACACGATGCATTTGAGGCCATTGTAGATGTTGTGATACTATGCTACAAGACATCTTGAGCCCAGGTCTCCTGGCCCTAGAGGCCATGTTCAACCTCCTATTCATAGCTAGGTATGGCTGTGGGAGGGGACAGGTGTAGCTTCCAATAGTTTCCACCCATCAATTTACAAAGCAATTCAGAGGGCCTGGGAGATGAGGGCCTTGTTACCTGACCTACAGGATAGAGGGTTAAGCAGGCCAGGAGTCCTTGCTTGAGAAATTTGGGACAGAGAGGTTGGGGGATGGTGGGTATTGAGTATGTTCAACCAAGCAGGAGGTGATGAGGTCTTCTACAGGGTCAGCTCCGAGTGGTGAAAATCTTAGGTGTACAGACTGGGCGGAACCAGAGGACAATGGGGAAGTTGTGTACTTAGCCCTTGGAGAAGCAGGGGCTAAGGGAATCTAAATGTGGGAGTGGTGAAATGGCCAAGGGACTGAAGAAGGATAGTGGGAGACATTCAAGGCAGGTGTTTGGGAATATGGCTGGATCAGTCCTTCCCTCATTTGCCCAGGTGAATCTTTGTCCTACATCCAACCTCTCACCTCAGCACCAGATCTACTCACAGATGGGCTAAGGTAAAGAGGTGGGGACAGTGAGGTAGCAGAAACATGCAGGGAAATGTCTGGACCAGTACCCAACCTACTGCCATGAGAAATCAGATGAGAAAGAACACCCCTCATGCTGGACTCTACCTCACAGGCTGCAATCAGTGGCTTTTCCCTTCCCTGGGGGATTACCTCCACTTTCTAGTCCTAAGGATCCCTCCCTGGTCTTGCCAGGAAAAGGGAGCACCAAGTGCCAAGAGCAAACCTGTTCCTTGAGCAATAGTATTTCCTTAACTTTGTGCTCAGGAATGGATCTGCTCCTTCCTTCTGCACAGAGCTGTAGCTGCAGCCAGAGGCAAGGTGCCGCACTGCCTCCCTGGGATTGTCTAAAACTGTTCTGGTTTTGTTACAGTGTGGTTTTGGAAGCTCCGGCTTCTGAAAGACGTCTGAGATGTACTGGTTAGTAGGGTAGAAGTTACAAAATAGTGCTTAAGAAGCTATTCTGGTTTGGGGAAACATAAACCACAGGTTGGGGCACAGACGAAGAAAAGGCTATGGTTGGCAAAGCTTGTGTAGTGCATGGGGTTTCCTTTTTGAGGGGGATGACTGGGGACTCTTATGTTTCCCTGTGTAGCCCTGGTTGCTCTGTAGAGAGGCTGGCCTTGAACTCAGAGATCTGCCTGCCTCTGCTTTCCAAGTGTGCTGCTACCCAGCAGGAAATTTCCAAATATGAAAAAAATACATGCTTTTCCTCACTTTTTGTAACTCACTTTTGTAACTGTGGACTTCAACACAGAAGCAGCAGTGGCCAGGGCAGAGAGAGCAAGATCTAACGTGTGTGACTCTGGCAAGTAACATGACATGTCTGGACAATATTTTTCTCATCCAAATATAGGGTCTGGTGATTCCCACCCTGCATACATCACAACCCTAACCCTCTATCCATGGTCTCGCATTCCTTAAGGGACATAGATACTGTAAGTCACAAACCCCAAACACACGTGTAGCATGTGTGTATTTCACAGGACATGGTGGAATACTCAAAACAGTAAGGCCTATGTTTAGTCAGTAGGGGACTTCCCTTTTCATTCTATGAGGTTGTGCATTTTGGCATTTTAATATGAATTCAATTTTCAGTCTCATTCATTACTGACTCCCATGGAAGAAAAAGTATCCCCTATTATTAGAGATTAGTGTAAGCAGAGCTGGGGTGTAGCTCAGGTAGGAGAGTGATTGTCTAGCATACAAAAAACTCTGGGCACTCTGGGTTCTAGCCTCAGCACTTCATGGACAAGGCATGGTGGTACTTGTCTGGCACTTGGGAAGTAGAAGCAGGAGAATTAGGGACTCAATGCCAGCCTAGGGCACATGAGACTCTACCTTGAGATAGATAGATAGATAGATAGATAGATAGATAGATAGATAGATAGATAGACGGGCAGATAGATAGGTGGGTAGATAGATAAGTAGATAGATGATGGATGGATGGATAGATAGATAGATAGATAGATAGGTGGATAGATAGGTAGGTAGATAGACAGGCAGACAGACAGACAGACAGACAGATCATAAATACCAGGGAACTACCCTGGTGGTTAGCCTTTGTCATTCTTTACAAAAAGATATGTCTTTCCCCTGACAGACTGTATTTGTGCTGCAAACACTCATGGCCAACTCTAAGGAATGCAATCTCTTGTGACCCCTGAGCTGAGTTTATCACTAGCATATTTGTAAATCTAGGCCCATGCAGAAATACATACCTTGGCCATAATCAAGTTGCTGTTTTAGACATTTCTTTATTCTCTGACACAATGTGCTGGGACATGTGAGCCTGGACTATTTATAGGCCAGGATCAATTTTCAGAAGACTTGGTGGCAAGCACTTCTGGGGCCTGGGAGCTGGCAGCCCCACCTTATGGGTGAGGTCTGTGGCTCCATGGGGTGATGCCTGAATTAGATGCTGGGAGGAGAAGTCTGATCCTCACTGTTTTGAGGAAGACAGCCTGGTCTACATAGTGAGGTTTAGACAAGCCTGGGGTGTACAGGGAGACCCTGTTTAAAACAAAATAGAAATCTAACAATGAGAGAAAAGCAAAAACACAAGTAATAAATGGAGCCAGGGATATTGGCACAGGCCTATAATTCCAGGACTGCAAAATCTGAGGCAGAAGGCCAGTCTGGACTGCCTAGCATGACCCTGTGTCAGGAAACAAACAAATAGTTGACCACCCCCTCTAAATAACAGTGCTAGGGCAATGAGATAATTTCTCTTCCCTTTTTTGTTGTTTTGAAGTTTAAAAATATATTTTTGGGCTGGAGGGTGTAGGTCAGTTGCTAAGAATACTTGCTTAGCATGTCTAAAGCCCTGGGTTCAACCCCCCAATAACACATAAACTGTTATTTCAGTACAGAGCAGAGAGGAAGATCAGGAGTTCAGGGTCATCCTTGGCTAACGTTGAAAGTTTAAGGTTAGCCTGAGCTACAGTGAGACCTTGTCTAAAACAAAACAAACATACCATAAAGACTAAATTTTGGGAAATTACAATTTAACTGAATGTCTTTCAATTTCATTTCACAGACACAAGGAGGCAGAGCTGAATGGGATGTGCCAAGCATGGATGGAGGTCAAGCGACACTCTGTCAACAAGGATCCTATCTGTTGACTCTCTGATCAATAGTGTTCTGTGACTCTTCCACACCTTCCCCTCCCACCACTGGGTCAAAAATCAGCAATACTGCCGGGCGGTGGTGGCGCACGCCTTTAATCCCAGCACTTGGGAGGCAGAGGCAGGCGGATTTCTGAGTTCGAGAGTTCGAGGCTAGCCTGGTCTACAGAGTGAGTTCCAGGACAGCCAGGGCTACTCAGAGAAACCCTGTCTCGAAAAACCAAAAAAAAAAAAAAAATCAGCAATACTGAGGCAGCCCAACAGTCAAGAAGGAGTTGGGTGTATTTGGGAATGATTTGCAAGCCAATGTTTCTAAGCGTGTGTGCTTCCATGCAGTAGAGGGTTGCATAATGCCTGGGAGAGACCTTCGAAGCCACAGCCCTCAAAGATGTGTAAGGATCCATGGAGTGAGGACCAAGATGTGAAGCCAAGCCAGAGGCCACAGAGTCAGTGAGCCTCTGGGTTCTGGTCTGCTGTGTGTGCATCAGGACATGTCAGGAGGCCACAGCAGGGAAAAAAAAAATCCTGGTTGTCCTCTGTTTGGCTTTCAACCTAGAACCTTCCCTGGGATTATTCCACCAAGCCACTGTCTTTATAAAAAGAGAAGTGAATGAAACAAGATAGGCCCTGTAGCCTGCCGATCAGATGCCTGTGCCTGACAGGGTAGTGCAGAGATAGGAAGAGAAGTAAGAGTCCAGGGAGAAACTCCAGAAGAATCTTGGAAAGAGCAGAGCAGAAGCCAGTCTTCTGCCAGCGGCCCCTGTTGGGGTAGTGAATAGATCATAGCTACTGTCTGGCTCTTAGGGCCCTCGATAAAGGAAGTGGTGCATCAGGAGTGCTTGGAAGAGCTCTAGACTGTCCCCTAGTTTTGTGGACCTCAGCCTGGTGGGTAGCTTCTCTTCCAGAGAGGAAACCTTCTTCACCGGGCTAGAAGTCAGGCTAGTGGTTGGCTCTTGGGTGAGTGTAGGTGAACGGAGCCACCTTGGCTGTAAGAATCCCAGTTCTAAGCATGTTCTAGAACCCTCTGCCCTGCACATCAGGGCAGACTCTCTGAGGGACACTCACCGGGGGTCCTCAGGCATGGTCACCTGGTCCTTTTCCCAAGTAATGATGGGGGCTGGCAGCCCCTCGGTGTGGCATTCAAAGCGTGCCGTTCCGTTCTCTTCCACGGTCTGGGACTTGGGGTGCAGAGAGAAGTCTTCAAGTGCTGGGGATGAGCATAGTGAGGAGAGAGTGAGAGAGCCGTCGCTGTCAGCACAGTCACGTAGAACATGGAGTCACGGAAACACAGCCGAGCAAACCCAGAACAAGGGAGACACAGTTTGGAGAGCAGAGCGGTGGCCAAGGGCTAAGAAATGATTACTGGTCAGATGGTGCTGACAGCATGTCATTCTAAGGTATTCATGTCCAACATCACCATCATAGTCACACTATAGGAAGATGTGTATCTCCTGGTACCCTGTGCCTCTGGAGAGCCCCGAGGAGCCAACGCCAGGAGGATAGGGCATGGTTATATCGCTGTACGCTATGGTGTGTGACTAGGAAACAGGAAGAGACACCTTTGGGTCCCTGATCTCTTCCTAGCAGACAAGCCAACCCTGTACACTAGAACTCAAAGGGTGGAGAGAAGGAAGGGTGATGGATTGAAGACTCAGCTGACGGAGCAGTGAACAGCAAGGGTAGATAACAGCAGGAGGAGACTCAGTGAGTGGGACAGGACAGGAGGCAGGGAACCTAGGTTGGGCTCCCGGTTCTGATGCAGGTAACTAACTTTAGATTCTTCTCCCTATCCCTTCCGTTCCCTTCGGTCTCCAAATCTCCACCCTCAACCCAGATGCTTGCACTTACTGGCAAACTTGACCACAGCAACCTGGCTAGCCACCACTCCCAGCGGGCTGTGGGCCAGACAGGAATAGCTGCCCTCAGTGACCTTCCAGATCCTAAGAGCTTCCTCGTCACCACTGTCTTCTCGCTCTAGGGGTGAGGACAGCCACAGGGAGCCGTTGGGTAGCAGGTGCAGGTTATCATGCTCCAGCACGGTGTCTCCATCTTTGCTCCATGTCACCCTGGTTGGAGGTCCAGCAGCAGTAGCCCCAAAAGTGCAGTCTAGCACCACAGCCTGCTCGGGGCCCAGGACCACTTGCAGGGGTCCCACATCGCAGCTCAGCTTGACAGTTGCTTCCTGGGGCAATGGCAGTTCCCCTGTGAGGAGGAAGAGACACCAGGGCTGTGGGTGTGTGTGTGTATCACCCAGTGGCAATCACTTAAGGAGAGACCCCGTGTCCATCTGCACCCGTTCTCTCTTTGCCAGCAGCCCCTTCCTTCTTGAGTCCCATCTCCCCATGGTTTGACTTCTTTGCTCACAAAAGACCCAGCAGCTCACAGTAGCCCCTATTACAACAGCCAGAAAGTAGACTTGACCCAAATGTTCGCCCTTCACCTGATAAGTGACTAGTATTTTACTCAGTCAGCAGAAGGGACGAAGCGTTCTGCATGCATAGCGACACCCTGGAAAAACTTCATGCTAAGTGAAAGCCACCAGTCACCAGATGCCACACACTTTGTGATCCCGTTTCTGTGAAATGTTCGTTAAGTCAGAACGTAGATTAATGGGTACCAAGAATCTTGAGCAGAGAGGAATGAGGAGTGACCCCTAAGGAGCATGAGGTTTCTTTTTGATGAGAATGTTCTAGAATTAGACAGTGGCCAAGGCAACACGACCTTATTAGTATATTCAAAACCACAGAGTGGAGAGTGGGGGTGTGTGGAGCTCTTTAGCTCAGTTGGTAGAGTACTTACATAGCATGCCTGAGGCCTGGCTTGGGCCCCTAACACTGCATAAACTGAGTGGGGTAGTGCACATCTGTAATCCCAACACTCCAGAGAGGGAGGCAGGAGGATCAATAATTCAGGGTTATCCTCAATCCTCAGCTATGTAGAAATTTGGAAGCCAGTCTGGACTAAGCGAAAATCTGTCTCAAAAAAAAAAAAATTTACCTGTCCACGCGGATAAATTCTACATAAATTGTGAGTTGTAAAAATACAGAGCTCTATATAAATTGTGAGTTGTACCTTGGTTTTAAAAAATACAGAGCAATTCTTTCCTTTTAGGGTTGTCATGATCGTCCTCTGGGTGATGTGTACACGATGTAGCATTGCCTGGCGCTGTGTGGTGGCTCGGTGGTTTTAGTCCCCCAGGAATCCAACGTCTCATCTCCACCGCTATTACTCACAAGCTAGAAAAATGCTGTAGTTGGAAAACTCTGAGAAATGTACTATGTGTGTAAGGCGTGCGTATGTGTGCGTGTGCATGTGTGTGTGCGTGTGTATACTTACATGCTGCCTGTAGACCCTAACACTGCCCCTACTATGAATGGAAGAGAAGGAGGATTAGAGTGTACACTATCCCATATGGAGGCAATAATCACAAAGGGAAATATTTCTTATCATAATCAATGCCCATCCCTGTTATGGAGAAATGGCTCTCCATGTAGGGGCTTCATCACAGTTGACCTGCTGTCTCCCTGTCCCATTAGAACTCATTCACCCAAGCCAAGGTCTCTTCTCAGTGTCCAGCTTGCCTCACCACAAGGCACAATGGCACCCCTGAAAGCTGACTAAGGATGGAGGTGACAGCCTCATCATGTGGCAAGGCTGGAGGGATAAAGCAGGACGGCTAGGTAGTCAGGAAGATGTATGGCCTTAGGCCAGGCACTTCTTCCAGGTCTCAGTTTACTCACTGATACAAAGATATCTGTTCCAGAGCAACAGCACTAACCCACAAACATCCCACAGTGTGACAACTGTGTTCCCCTACATACATGTTCCTCTGTCTGCTACATTGGTCAACATCTAGACCCCTCTGTGTATCCACGTTTCCTCCCTATGGCATTCAAAGAGGAATAAGATAGCCCAGGGATTGGAGAGATGGCTGTTTGTTCAGAGGACTGGGATTCGAGCTCAGCACCCCTAACAGCTCACAACCATTCATAGTTCCAGTTCCAGGGGGCTCTGATCCCCTCTCATGGCCTCTGCAGGCATACATGCCGGCAAAATACATATAAATTAATAATAACAACAATAATGATGATGATGAAAAGAAGTCCTAACCAGCTGAGAAAAGGGAACCTGGGAAGAAGTGTGAAGGATAAAGGGTCAGAAAGATCCTGACCAGACCACCACCCTCCCACTCCTTCAGCAGAGCTCCGCTGGACAGGTCTGGCTTCAAGGCTGGCCTGAGGGTTCACAGTGCTACTAGAGAAGGCAGTCCCCTCCCAGTCAAGGTTCCAGGGGCTGGAGAGATGGCGGGGTGGAAAGGTGTTCTCCACACGAGTGTGTCAATCTGAGTTTGGATCTTCACACTCACACCTGTAATCCCAGAACCGGGAAGGGGGAGACCGGTTAGTCCCTGGAGCCAGTTTAGCCAATGAGTTCCAAGTTCAGTCAGAGACCCTGTCTCCGAAATGAAGGTGAAGACTAGGTAAGTGTCTCAGCCATTAACGAAGGATATTTGCTATTTTTGCAGAGTACTGGGGGTTCAATTCCCAGCACCCACATGGTGGTTCACGATCATGTGTCGTTCCAGTTCTGAGGGATCTGAGACCCATACATCTGCACATACATATCCACAAGCAAAACACTCGTGTGCATAAAATAAACAAATCTAAAATAATTTTCCTTTACTAATTTTAATATATTTATTATTAAAATATAATTTACTGTAATTATTACAATATAATTTATTATGTTATCACTGTGAAGTTGCTTTAATGGTGATATCTGTGCAAGAGATGTCAGGACAAGGCAGCAAATGCAGAGTTGACAGGCTCTGAGTGAATAAAGCAATCACCTTGCTCCAATGCTTTAGCTGCTGAGACATCTCTGGGCTACTTCCTCCTCCTCAGTCTCCCTCCTCCTCAGCTGTATGGAACCAGTACTGCTGTATACAGGACACCAGTTGTTTCGTGTTGCTGTTAGTCTCAGGGGACTTCAATCTCATCCATGCCCTCACCTTAAAAAAAGGACGATGACCTCTGACCTCCTCATGCACACCTACACGTTCTCGGGGACACACACACACACAGATCAAGGTCCCAGTCTTGCCACTTCATCTGCCAGCTGTGACAGTCAGGCGTCCTCTCTGGTACTCAGTTTCCACATATTTAAAATGAGCCTGTGAGTATCAACCAAGCAACCAAGTGCTGCCTGCCTGTCAGGGGTTCAGGCCAGAGCCTGGTGGACATCGCTCAAGAAGTAGAGAAATCAATCTTTTTTGGTTCGGTACTGGGAATAGAACCAAAGGTTTTGTGCAGATCAGGTGAGAAAGCTCACTACACAGCTCTGCCCGAAGCCTCGTTCTGTAAGACCCTGAGCACACGGTAAGGAGCTACACAAACGGCCTTTGCGGCCCTTAGCATTCAGTCCTTTCTCTTCTAAAGCCCTAGATTCCATGATTCAAATTCAGAGTTGTGGAAGGCAAGCCTGGGCTCCCAGCCCAGCAGTTTCAAATGCTCTGGTCCAGAGGCAGAACTGGAGGCTTGAATTTCAGGGGAGAAAAGCCCCACATAACACGAATCCTCGAATCCTCTGGCAGCCTCCCCACCCCCAGAAGCATGTCCGGGGCTTGAAAAATCCCCTGCCGTGCTGAACAAACAATGTGAACAGTTGGGGCCCGAGCAGCTGCTGGGTATGTCAGCAGCCTGGGCTCTGGCGGGCAGGACAGCCGCCAGAGGGGCTGGTGGCTGGCAGGGGGGCCTCAGGAGCTCCAGTTCCCTTCCTGAATATTCATGGATCAGCAGATGTCTAACTTCACCACCTCAGAGGAGCCCAACAAGGCGGGAGACGCAGAAAGAACAGGGTTCCGCCTCAGAGAGCAGCAGAACTCACAAGCCCTAGCAGACCCATTTCAGTGACAGCTTCCCCGAAGTCCAAGGTCCATTCTACCGATGAGGAAACTAGAGACGGAAAAGAGGGGTCGGGTGGGGAGATCTGACTTTCAGGGGGTGAACCCGCAACTGGGGGGTGGGGTGGAGAGGGGTGCAGTTGCTCCTGAGAAAGGTTTTCCAGGAAACTTTGCCCAGACGCCAACCTCCCTTCAGGAGACCTTCCTCCAGGGAAGATTTTCAAATGCCATTTGGAAGTCTCTTAAGAATTCTTCCTCTCACCTAGAGGTGAAACTAGTTTTGTGCCTTTCCGCTATCATTAGTCGCCAGGATTCTAGGTCCAGTCATTTCTTGCACAATCTTGAATTAGCTCCTCCCCCAAACCCTTCTATCTCAGTTTCTCCGGCCTTAAAAAAGGGAATCTTCAAACTCAAACATTTGCATCAAACTTCTTCCTGGGCTAGGGATGTAACTCAGGCTAGCAGGCCTGGGGTTTGATTCTCTAGCTCTGGATAATTAGGGCTTAGCGGTACACATCCGAAAAAGAAAATATCAGCACTAGGGAGGTGGAGGCAGGAGGACCAGAAGTTCAAGAGCTTGGTGCTTAAGAGTGTGTGCCTAGCACGTTCAGTTCCCAGCACTACACACACAGAATTCCAGGTCATCTTCCTCAATATAGGGAGTTCAAGTCCAGCCTGGACTACATGAAACCTTGTTTCAAGAAAACCAAACTTGGGGCTGGACAGATGGCTCTGCAGTTAAGAGCACCGGCTGCTTTTCAGAGGTCCCAGAGTTCAATTCCCATCACTCACATGATGATGGTTCACACCCATCTATAACAGGATCTGATGCCCTCTTCTGTCATGCAGGCATACATGCATACACATACACACACACACACACACACACACACACACACACACACAGAGAGAAAACCAAACTGAAATTCTTACATTAACAGACAGTTATTTATTAAAATATTATTTAATTAATTTAATGAAATTATTTCATTAATTTAATTAAATGAAATGTTATTTATTTAAAAAAAAACATTTATTCCTTTGTGTTTTGCACCACATGCATGCATGATGCCTCTGGAGATCAAAAGAAGCCTTCAGATCCTCCGTGGATCTCAAACGTCCACGTTGGGAAGGAAACTGGGGTCCTCTGCAAGAACAACACATGCTCTTAACCACCCAGCTAAACCCCTACCTCTACCTTTACTTTTAAACTTCTTTGTACTCTGCCCCACAAAATAGCAATGTTTACTTTAGCATGTGTATGTTCTCTCCACCACCAAGGCCATAACATCTGAAAGAG